TTCTACAGAGGAGCAAATACGTTTCTTGCACAGGCTGTGATAAAGGCTTTAAGATGGTTATGGTTACGATGTAACAGTGAACTGCTCAGGGTTAATGTCGCTATGAATTAAGCTTGAAAAAAAGTCTCTAAACTTATATGTTTATTCTTTGTGGGTGTATCACAGAATCAAGTCCGCATCCCCTGCAACTATTGATAATATAGGCTTCCCACAGGCTAACGTGAATGTTAGAGGCAATGATTACAGCAGTTCAAAGGAGCATCGTCCACGTCAGCGGCATGGCAGCCCTCCTCAGCCCGGAGCGACTACAGTTTGCTTTGAATTGGAAAGCGCCGACGAAACGTTAATAAACTCCGTGTTTTATTAACAGTGATTTTTATTTTGGAAAACTGAAAAACAACTTTTCGACATGCATCAAGCACAACGAGACAAAGTGGGGAAATCTCGGTTTTTCTAACAGACTAAAACTGATCCAAGGATCCGGGCTTTTCATAAAGATGCAGTCAGATAATTTGTCGCCGCCGTCTTGTTTTGTCTGTAGTTCGGCTTCAACTCTTTCTCACATATTGCTGTGACACGCGTGGTTCCAGCACAGCTTTTTTTCAGCCAGTTATCAAATGAACTAAGTCTCCCTGTGTCGAGCTTAACTGGCCCAACTCGTCTCGTTACACATTTGCTACAAACTGCACCACCAACACCGTAGGGTGCGGACACAGCGTTATCTCTGCCAGCATTCCAGACTTACCTTCAGGAATTCCCTCTACTTCGGAGTTTACCAGAACGGAAAGCGCGCAGCCAACGATACCTGAAAATAACAGCAAAGATGAAAGTCTCATTTTTGCCAGGTTAACGTCCCTGTTTTTGAACCGGACTGGTCCCGTTAGCGAACGTCAACTACGGCTGTGTTGGATCTGCCAGTTCAGCCTTCTCTTCTTGTTTTTCCCTACTTTGCCTTTTCTCTCTCCTCCTCTTTCTCAGTGTGTGCACACAAACCGTGTATTTGTCTATACAGCAGTTACAGTAGAACAATAACAGTAGTAAAACAGCAGTTTGGCATCTGTGTAAAGATTTGCCATCCGGACTCTTTTATAACATAGTAGCCCACTTGTTAAAATCGCAAGCAAACGCCTACTTCCACAGTGGGCAGGAGAGAACTGTGCACATGGGGATCCTGCTGTTCCGCAGACATGAGTATCTGCACGTAGCCTGAACCGGTGGTTGTATATAAGTTTCTTACAAAGACTATGGGTAAACTCAGTTTGTCAAATTAAAGCTCTCACAATAACTTGACCATGAAAAGAAAGAAAGGAAATGTTAAACATCAGTGCCAATCACATTATCCAAAGTAATCATAAACCTAACATTAGAACGCAAATGAAGAGTTTAGACAGAGGTATATCTAATGTGGTATTGACATCCGATATATTTGCAAATACTGGTATACGAGTTCTTTGTTAGTTAGTGGTTAATTTAATTGACGTTAAAAAGTGTTATTGCATTCATTAAAGTCCAGCTAGAGGTTATCAGAGGTAGAAAAAACGGTACTAATGACGTTTTTGAGTAACCTCCAACATGTACAAACATTTGACCCAGAACATGCAATTCATCTGCATGTCTTTGGTATGCTGTTTAACAATGGTGGCCACTCTCAAAGTGCAGCCAACGAGAACCCAGTGAGAAGTGCTAAGATAATCAACAGGAAATTGAATTGATAAGTGATGTTGAATCCTTATTAATTCCTATCCCTAACCTGATGGAGGAAACATATGAGATGGAGATTAATCCCTCATTAATCCTTCCTTCATGTTTTATATCTCAGATGGTTTGATATAGCTGCCCTTTGTTTTAATTACTGCTTTGCACATTCTTGGCATTCTCTCGATGAGCTTCGTGAGGTCATCACCTGAAATGGTTTTCCAACAGCACTCCATCACTCTCCTTGTTGGTCAAACAGCCGTGACACAGCCTGGAGGTGTGTTTGGGGTCATTGTGCTGTTGAAAAATCAATGATGGGATGGCATGTTGCTGCAGGATGCTGTGGTAGCCATGATGGTTCAGTGTGGCTTCAATTTTGAATAAATCTCCAACAGTGTCCCCGCAAAGCAACCCCCACACCATCACACCTCCTCCTCCATGCTTCACGGTGGGAACCATGCATGTAGACACTATCAGTTAATCTTTTCTGCATCACGGGTGGAACCAAACATCTCAGATTTGGACCCATCAGACCAAAGCACAGATTCCCACTGCTCTAATGTCCATTCCTTGTGTTTCTTGGCCCAAACAAATCTCTTCTGCTTGTTGCTTTTCCTTAGTCGTGGTTTCTTAGCAGCTGTTTGACCATAAAGGCCTGATTCACACAGTCTCCTCTGAACATGTAGAGATGTGTCTGCTACTGGAGCTCTGTGTGGCATCTATCTGGGCTCTAATCTGAGCTGCCGTTAACTTGTGATTTCTGAGGCTGGTGACTCGGATGAATGTGTCCTCAGCAGCAGAGGTGACTCTGGGTCTTCCTTTCCTGGGGCGTCCTCATGTGAGACAGTTTCATCATAGCGTTTGGTTCTTGCGACTGCACTCGGGGACACAATCAAAGTTTTCCAGACTGACTGACCTTCAGTTCTTAAAGTAAGGATGGACTGTTGTTTCTCTTTACTTAGCTGATTGGTTCTTGCCATAATATGAATTCTAACAGTTGTCAAATAGGGCTGTCAGCTGTGTACCAACCTGACTGCTGCACAACACAACTGATGGTCCCAACCCCATTAAGAAGGCAACAAATGAACCCTGACAGGCACACCTGTGAAGTGAAACCATCTCTTTCTGCACTCAGCATTATATGTATGTTCTGCCTTCAGTACTGCAATTTACCCCATAATCATCTGATTTAAAACAAAATCTAACATACAACATTCTCGCCCCTGGAAATAGATCTAAGATGTTACCATCATAATCTGGCTACCCCTTTGGCGCCAGCTGTGGGCTCAAGGCTGGAGCCGAACAAAAACTCCCTGATAACGACTGTGTTGAGTCTGTTCCTTCCCATTCCATGCAAGGCCACCTGGGTTGGCTGCTTTGGAGTTATCATGTTTTACATGCAGACTCAGGGCTGCTCGTCTCCTCTTGATCTTTTCTTATTTGAACGTTGGTGACTTAGAACCTCAAAGTTTAGCAGCACAACACTGTGTTTGCTTTTTCCATTTGCCATCTGTGTTTATCAGTGCGATATGTGACTAATCTTTATTTAATAACCACAAAGTAAACAAATAAAAGATGAAATATTTTATTTATCAAAGATACATGATTACACATTCATACAATGAATAAGGTATCTATAAAAATTACACACGGTGTAAGAAAAACATTACAACATACAAATAAATGTTATATGAAAATCTGACATTGTTTCAAAGCATAGTAATAAAATTTTAATTAAAAAGTCTTTGATGATCACATTAGATGTGTCACATTTTCAAAGCATAATAATCTTAGAAAAGTGTTCACAAAACAGTTTTAGAGAACTTACACAGCTTTACTTTTTCCACAGTGCCTTTGTGCTTTTCACCATCAGACACAATAACTCACGATTAGCTAAGACCTGCCATCAAATGTCCTTCACTTCTTCGCAATCATTTGTGCGCTGCTCTCCTCGGGTGTGCTGGATCAGATCTAAAGGCTCAGTCTTCTGTACTGGGGGGTAAAAATTGCAGTTTATCAAAAAATATCTGACAGTGCGATGTTTTAAGTGGAAAAACAGCTGAATGTGGTGAGGGGACCAACCATACTGAGTTATGGAGCAGCTAGTAAGGACTTGTGTATTTCTGGAGAGTCTGCAAAGCTGTCTTGGTTGATTTCAAAAACTCTGCGCGCTTCACTCATCAGTAAATTAGGCTCATTGGTCAGATCAAAGCCATCCCCTGGTGTTTCAGTGGCTGAAGCGACAGCCGGCCTCACTGTAATGACTTTATTGACGGTCTGGGAGGAGTTCGAGGTTGTGGCCGGGGGTTACAGTCGGGGGGATATTTCCAGTTGGTGAAAGTTAGGCAAGCAATAACTTCCAGTCACTCGGGGTCGCTGGGGTTGAGCAGGGGTGGGATATCCCCCCACAAACAGCTGTTTCACATGGATCAGGTTAAACCCAGGGCTCCTCCATTCTCTGGAGGAGAGCAAAGTGAGAGCCTGCTTTTCTGAAATTGCTTTGGGGTCGCACCGTGAGTCAGAGACATCCTCATTTTACCCACACTGGCTGCTGTGTGACTTGGGGATCCTTGCTCAGGTACGACCGTCTCACGCTAAGGTAGAGTGTGTGTAATTATGACTTTGATTTTCTTTGTTTGGATTAAACAAACACAAATGAAACGAATCAAAGCCAACGAAGCACACAGCCTCCAACTCCCCCCATCCTCACTGCCCTCTGTTGTTACAAAAGCACCGATTTAATCCAAAATAACCTTCTTTTTATGGTTCAACACATTTTCTCTCTCTCTCTCTCTCTCACACACACGATATTTTTGTCCAAAAAGTCAACTTTTTTGTTCTAAAAATGACAACAGACCAATATGAATTATTACATCAGTTTAATTTCTATCTCAAACATACTGTTCATCAGCCTAGTCCATCTCCCCTATTTTCATTTTATTTTTTGGGTAAATGATTATTGCTGAGGTATGAAATATCATAGTTTTATGATATTTATAAAAATGAAGACTCTCATGTTCCTTAGTCGAGTTTACTGCAGACCACCTCACATGTTCTCTCTGTCAGTTCAGACAGACAGTCGCTGTTATGGAAAGTAAACGCTGATCTCCTCTCCTCTGACTGCAGCTGTCGTTACTCATGTTGTACCCAAACAGCAGCAAGCATAAAGCACCAGTAACTCCACTTTACTCTGGCCGGAGATGTTGAATGATCAGTTCCGCAGGGTTTTCCTGTCCAGCGCTGTTTGTCGTAAAGTTACTGGTTTTTGCGACAGTTCCGGTTGTTATGTTAGCCGATCGTTTTGGGGGTTTTTTTTGCCGATTTGCTTTACGACATTTTTGACAAACCAGAAGTGTCAGCCTATGGCAAAGTTGTTTCTGGAGAGAATTGTTTTGATTATTTATTCGTTTTTTTCTAGTTGAAGTCAAACGGAGATCTTGATGTCTCACTTCTGAGGATACGAGAGAAGCATACAATGCGAGAAGCGTCCGCACATTTTGTGCAGCTTTTGTCCACAGTGCTAGCTAACGAGCTCATTTAGCCTGAATCCTGTTTGTCAGCTTTCGTTCCTGGAGAAAGTACGAGCGAAATTCCATGTGAGACATCCTCGCGTGTTCACCCCGAGTCCTCTGGGTGCTGTCCTTAGCAGACTCACAGCCGGGTTTTGATCGTAAAATGTGGCTACAGCAACGACTGAAGGGGCTACCAGGCTTGTTATCGAGCAGCTGGGCGAGAAGACTCCTTATAGGACTGTTGCTCTTCCTCATTTTCTATTGGTACCTGGGAGCCGAGCGAAGATGGAGGTTGTTCGGTGGCTCGGCCATGCCCGGGGGGGCGGCCGGCCAGTGTCTCTTGACTGAGATCTACAGGTGGAGGTCTCTGGTAGACCGAGGAGAAGGCATATACAGCACACCTCAGGAACGGCTAGACACGCCTTTTGTAACTGGAAACGGCCATATTCTGATTGATATTGAGTCTAACAAACTTTGGGTAGCCTCATCCTCACAGCCCGGCTCGGCTCCGGTACACCAGACTGAGTACTCTCCCAGAGTCACCGTCAGCCTGGATGGGGCGCTGGCCGAGGCTGAGGCTAACATGCTGTGGTTCCGGAAGGGATCGGTCCTGTCAGTCCGCTGCGCCTCACCAGCCACCCTGCAGTCAACCCGAGACTGTGTCACTATTAGAGAGGAGTTTATTGCTCACAGAAGCAGACCTAACGTATTTCTGCAGCGAATCCATATCAACAATCCCTCCGATAGGGCGCTTAACCTGGACTTATCGTCTGGAAATCCCTCTTTCGGTAGCAAGTTCTCCACCAGTGTGGAGAAACTGGAGGACAGAGAGGTAGTCCTCTCCTCTGGCAGGGTGCCGGTGGAAAAAAATAGGATGGTTCTGGTCGTGGTGGTCACCAAAAAGCTAAGCAGCAGGATCCATGTTTTGGCTAAGTCAGAGCATGTAGACAACATTGTGAGTGTGGTGTGGACCTCAGAGTCCATCGAGTCCTCAATGCTGGAGGAGACCTTCAGCGCCCTCAAAGACGGAGCCAAAAAGGAGCTGGAAGAGTTGCTGAGGACCAGTGAGGATGACCTGGTCAAACATCACCAGGAAGCCTGGAGGGAGCTCTTCATTTCAGGTGGGGAGTAGCAGTAGCTGGCTGCACCAAAAACGATCACAGATGGTGTCACTGTACAGCCATAATGCAAGCGTGACAGTAACCAAACCTCCTTTAAAGCTAAATAAAAACAGTGCAGTGATTTGCAAGTCGTCCAAAGGTGAAGCTTTTTTTTTTTAAGTTAGTAACTATTGTGTCTGCGTATAACAGACTTGGCAAAGACCCAGTTTAGTGTCTGTAGTTTTTTATTAGCAGTCACAAAAACACAACATTTGTTCCCATTTCTTTAGTCAAATCTACAAAAATACCAAAAATAACACAGAAGTAGCAAGACTAACAAATGAACTGAATCAGCAGCTACCACTGGAATAGGATGTGAGTAACCCTGTCTTTAATTTATTAAAGCTTCCTGTCAGCCAATAGTGTCTCTCTGTGTACAGTTAAATGTATTTTCAATAGCTACTTTCACCTGCTGTGTTATTCAGAAGGGGCCCAGGGAGTCATGTGAAGCTATAACTCTGCTTTTTGTTTCCATTTAGGTATTGAAATGAGGAAGATCATCGACTCCCACACGCCATCGAGCCGCACTGTGAACACCACCCTCTACTACATCTTGTCCTCCTCCGCGGCTCCGCTTCTGGACCAAAGGCTAAATGGCGAGGAGCGCGCCAGTCTCGAATCCAGTCTCAACTACGCTGACCACTGCTTCAGCGGCCATGCTACCATGCATGCAGAAAACCTGTGGCCTGAGAGAGTAAGCAGCACTGCTCAGATCCTGCAGCTGGTCACACTGTGGACTCTGACTTTGCACAAAAGAGGCTGCAAGGTGTTGGTAGCTGCTGGAGCCCATGGAGTCATGCAGGGCATGGTGCTCAGCTTTGGTGGCCTTCAGTTCACAGAGAACCATCTTCAGTTCCAGACCGACCCAGACGTGCTGCACAACAGCTACGCATTGAGAGGCATTCACTACAACCAGGACCTCATCAACTTGGCGGTGCTGTTGGATGTGGACGGAAAGCCTTTTCTCCACGTGTCGGTAAAGCAGCAGGAAAAGCCGGTGAAGCTGTATGCCTGTGAGGCCGGCTGCCTCAACGAGCCCGTGGAGTTAACCTCAGAGATCAAAGGCCACACCTTCCCCGTCATGGTGACGCAGCCCATCACGCCGCTGCTCTACATCTCCACAGACTTGCGCCATCTGCAGGACCTCCGCCACACTCTGCACCTCAAGGCCATCCTCGCTCACGAGGAACACATGGCCAACAGGTACCCAGGCCTGCCCTTCCTCTTCTGGTTCAGCGTGGCCTCGCTCATAACTCTCTTCCACCTTTTCCTGTTCAAGCTCATATACAACGAGTACTGTGGGCCCGGAGCTAAGCCTCTCTTCAGGAGCAAGGTATAAACAGCAGAGATGAAGCAGAACTGAACCCTGATGTTCTCTGCTCGAGTGTGTGTGTGTGTCGCTGGCTCAGTGCTCTCTCTGTGGGATGGGTTCTCAGTTTTGACTTTAACCTTTTCTGTCAATGAACTGTTTTCTAAACTCACATGGATCGTTTTGGCATAATGACATTACACACCTCTCCTTTCCAGCTCTTTCTACAGTTTTTGTTTCGTGTTGAATGACTTGATAAAGATTTTCACTGCACACGTTTACTCTAAGAGGCTGAAGGCAAAGTCAGATCTCAGTTAAAAGCAGAGTAGCAACAAAGAGTAGCGTCCTTACAGAGTTGCAGTAAATCATTTAGTCTGCAGTCCTCTTAGCACATCTGTTTGCACTTCATGTTCATTGTGGAATGTAAAACATTGTTGATTACAATGGTGAAATTTTGAGCACAAGGGGCTACTGTTTTATTATTTTTCTCCTGCTAGCTTACCCATCAATCCAGGCTGGTGTCTTAATCGCCTACAATAATGAGTTTTATGGTTGCTGTCAGGTTAAACAGTAACAAAAAGTCGGAAAATGAAAAAGAATAGGAAAAATGAATAAATGTACAAACAGATATCTGTGCTGTGATTTTGCTGATCCAACCTGGATTTAGTAAAATTGGTTTAATGTTTGAAATTGAAACCATGTGATCTCAGTTTTCTCAATTCTTTCTCAACTTTTCAACATCAAAAATTCTGAGCTCCTTTTCCAAATAATCCCTTCTTTTAAAATAGGTTTAACATGCCATGTTTATTACCCACATTCCTGTAGTGATGAACGATCTCTGTATGAAATGAAAATGATGGTTTCATTGTTCTATGACACTGAACAGTCCTCTTGGAGAGTTGTCCATTAGACAGGACATCATGTGTTGTAAATGTGGAGCAGCAATAATCGAACAGCCTCCCACATGAACTCACATTTAAAAGGCACCTTGACTGAATGTGTGCACAGCCTGTTATACTAACATTAAGACCTGATATAATAATAACAAGCCGCCATTGTTATTTAAGTTGCATTGCAGTCTGGGTAATTGAACAGATGGTTCAAACTGAGCTGGAAAACATATCTGACATTAAAGCCTTGTACTTTATACACCAGCTGATTGAACTTGGCTAAACCTCTGCAGTTATTGCTGCCTCTGTGATCAGGGTTGTGATGAGTACCAGTTTGCTTTCAGGAACAGGAACTGCGGCTGTGATTGGTTTACCACCCAGCAGGAAAGCATTTCTTATTTTTCATGTTTCTCAGACTATTCAAGGGTGTTTGGACTCTATCTGCCATTTGCTCTTTTAGGTAATTAGTACCAAGTACACCACAGTAAGTGTTGTGGGTATTGTCTTCTTCCACAATCCTTTCTAATAAGAAAGAGACCAGTGTCACTTCCCCTGATTCCTTTCAGCTTGAAATCAAAGCCAAAAGTAGCACACTGTGCCATGTTTTATACTTTGTGTAACCTGTTAAGTGGCAGTTGATAAAGACTGCTCTGAAGTGCCATCAGTTTACATCATTTACCCAGAGTGCATTGCTCATGTAAAGTAATTATAGGGTATATGTGTCAAACATTGAGGATTTTTAAACCAGTGACAGGTACTCCACTGGTTAGTGCTTTCATTTTGAAAAGCAGTTTTATGCTCCCAGTATAATGTTTGACTGAAACAAGTTCATCAGTTCATTTTGGACTAAACCATCGGCCCAGAAACGCTCTGTTCATTAACAATACACAACAAATAACAGGAGGTCACAGAAAACACGAGCCAACGATAGCACCGCTCCAACAATGAAAGGAAATTTATGTTAAACTGTGAAATCTGCAAATCGGTATCATATCGATCTGGCATATGACGATTCTCTCATTTTATTTACTCTGTTATTTATTGGTTTGTAGACAAACCTAAGTGGAGACAAATGAAAGGCTAACGTGTTAGCTCTGCAGTCAGGTGTTATCGGTATTTCAGGAGAGCTTTCTTTCCTGTCTGATGGTGTCTGCTCATTTCTTTCTTCCTCGTTTCTTCACGTTTTCAGCACAACAAACAAACACACATCAATTTGGAAGCATAAAATACCAAAATTGGACATTTGGACTTTTGGACATTTGCAAGAGAGGCAGGTTAAACGTTTCTCTGATCAGCATGAACCGTGTGCTTTCTTTGCCAGGTCTCTTTCTGCTGTTCCTTTTTCCCTGCGTTTTAATGATGTTTTATATCAAATCACTTAATTAAATGATGAGAAATATGTGGATTTGTCTCTGACTCTTTTTTTCCCTGCTCTGTGAGATGTTCCTATGCTTTGGTCGGGGTCCTGTCACTCTCAGCATGTCTGTTTTTCTCCTGGGTAGAGTTGTTGGGTTGGGGTAGCCAGTTTCCTCAGCTGTTTTAACCTTTCCCTCTGACTTCACCAGGTGACCAGCAAACATGAGGATAACTGCCATGACTCCTTGGACACTGATTGAATGCTGCAGCAGTGTGATGCACATACATGTGGTTCTGCTTGAGCTTGGGGGGGGGGTATTAACATGGATGTGCTTACGTGTAAGTCGCAGCCGTCATCTGCTGCAGAGCGCTCCTGTAAAACTAACTGGTTAAAATGGAATTTAGTTGATTTTTTGAAATAGGACTGTTCAACCAGGTAACCCAGAAAATAGAGCTCATAAACCCAAAGCATGATCTAGTGATCCAAAATCTAATCTACTAATCGTCAGTGTTGGTTAAAGTGACTGTGACTAACAACAAGGAAACTCAAATGAAGAAAT